AATTAAAAAGAAAGTTGGGTGGTGGAAAATTATTGTTAGACAGAGAGAAGGCATGTGGATTGTTGTCCATTGTGGAGGCACTATGTCCAGTGGGGTGGTGCCTCTGACCGGCCATGCCACAGTAAAATAAACATCCTTCTCCATTGCTGTAGGAGATAGACACGTTACTTCTGCAGTATAGCCACCGGGGTACATTGTTTGGAAGTTCAACCAAGAAAAAGTTGCCCAACTGTTGAACCTATCTTTGATCGGAGCTTGAATCGCTTTGACAAAGCAGAGGAGAGAGAGATTGTGGTTGTCTAGTTGGAGTCAAGCTCATGCATGGATCATAAACTGCCATGTGTGGTAGAGATCCGAAGCGGCATGTGGCAACGGGTTTGCCGATGGATAAGCTGGTGACGAGCATGATGAGAAGATGCGGATTGATCGTGGGAAAAATTGATGAAGCATAAGCATGGTTGGGTTTTCAATACACCTGTTGATGTGGTTGGTTTAGGGCTTCACGACTACCACCAAATCATCAAGCAACTGATGGATCTGGGGACTGTGAAGTCAAGGCTCAGTAAGAAAGAGTTTGGATGGCCGCTGGATTTTGCTTCGGACGTGAGATTGACATTCAACAATGCCAAGACGTACAATCCAAAAGGTCAGAAGGTAAGGAGAAGCTTGCTCCAACCAGCTGCAATGTTGAAGAAATCTGATTCGATGCGTGTACTAGGGGGTTGAACTTGCAGAACCTGTCGTTGGAGATGATGGACCAGATGGTAATGGAGTTGATGGAGGTTTCAAATTGGTTGAGGTCCGGCGGGCGGTCAAGGCAAGGTTGCCGCCCGTCAGAAGGCGAAGAATACCAAGAGCTTAACCTATAGCTCTGATACCATGTAACAATAGTTTGAGAAAGAGAGAAGAGAGAGCAAATGAATAACTCTATATTTCTGTGTATTTCTATGTATATTTACAAAGAGATGTACACTCACTTTATAGAGAGGAGAAGACAACATAGAATGCCAATTGAGGCACCGAAAGCATAAAGTAAGGGGACACTAATTATTAAAGCTAAACACTAACATATAATAATATACTAACATCATGCAACATGGGAACGCCGCCTAAACCCTTTTTTCTTGTAGTGTGGTGGTGGGCCGAATAAGGAGTTTTGGAAGCAGCTTTGGCGTATCACTTGAAAGCTTGCTGCGATATTTTGCCGGTGTGAGTAGCTTTGAGAAGACGCAAGTTAACTGTTGAAGATGTGTGTGGTCGGTGTGATAAATCGGCAGAATCTTTGATGCATTGTTTGTGTCAATGTGAAGCGGCTGCTGAGGTATGGTGGAGGGTTTCGATTGGGTTTGTTTCTCATTTGGGCAGAGCCAATAATTTTCGGGACTGGGTTCATGTCGTCATGCAACATGGGAATGAAGAGGTCTTGTGCATTGTTGTAGGCTTGCGTTGGGGAATTTGGACAGCAAGAAACCAAGCTATTTTTGCTAATAGAGTCAGACCGCCGGATAAACGGTCTCTCTTATATCCAGTCTTGTGGCAGATTTTGCAGCGGCACAATTCATGGTGAGCGGTGCACCAGTTGACCCACTATTTCTAAGGCCTTGTTTGAAGAGTAACTATTTTAACCAAAAAGTTAAAAGATTACTATAAGTTATCACATCACTCTCTTTATTTTTTTGCACATCTTTTTGTAAAAAATCAAAAAGTTATTAAAATAGTTTATTGCCAAACGAGGCCTAAGCCTCCAGAGTTGGGAAGATATAAAGTTAATTTTGATGGGGCAAAATTCAAAGATCTCAAATACTTGGGTACTGGAGTTATTATTCAGAATGAGTTGGGTAAAGTGATTGTAGCGTGTTCGACGAGATTAATGTGTTGGGCTGAGGCGGATATTGTGAAAGCATATGCAACTTTGACAGTAGTGCATTTTGCGGATGATTTGGGTCTGAATGATATTCATCTAGAAGGGGATTCAAGTGATATTGTTAAGGCTATTCACTTGGGTATGGACATTTGGTCTCTGAGGTAGTAGCGGTATCAAGGAACTTTAGGCGTTTCCTGGTCTCTCATGTGCGTCGAGAAAGGAACTCTGTGGCTCATCATCTTGCTCGAATGGCGGTTGAGTCGGCACATTTTCAAACATGGATTGAGGAATGCCCGTCTTCTCTCAACATGTTGATTGTAAAGGAGGCCTCTGGTCTTTCCTGGTTTGTTTTGGAGTTTACTCCTATCTTAAAAAAAAATAATAATGATAATAATAATAAAAAAATATAAAATGTAAAATTAAAGATCAAAATTCAGTCAAGTGAATTGAGAGACTGAAATGATCCAATCGACAAAATATAAGGATTACCGATATAATTTATTTAACAAAATAAGTTAATAGGAAAGTACATTTTCAAATTACATATCAAAATATTTTTCTCACAAATTTCTTACTTCAATCAAGTAATTATAATTAAGGGGACTAGTTTAAACTTTCTTATGATGCTTGTAAAACTCTAACATGCCAATAAATACAAATTGAAATGCATGGGAGCCACAAAGAACCATTTATAAATAATTATTTTTGATGGGACTAAATAATAAATAGTTAATTACCTAAAAGTCATATTGATAAGGTTAGTGTTCCATTCAGTTCTCATTTTTTCTTTTAAACTCATAAAGTCCTATTTTCAAAGATGGAAGGAATTGAGAAAACGACAATTCAATGAGGGCTAACAAAAATTTATTAGACGCTATAAGTGTACAACATGAAAATATTATTCACCAATCACTATCCTCATGTCTAAATACAAAATTGTGAGCCTCATCCTCTCCTCCACCAATTACAAATCTTTTGGTAATCACCTAATTATACCTCAAAAACATTAGATATTTTCTCTTATTCAGGTGATATTACTAATGTGACATTTTTTTTTTTTTTTGGTTTCAAAACGTAAAAATTTCTTAACTTTTGTTATACACATTTATTTTTAATAAAATTTATATTTTTGAACTCTACACAATGAGATCTATTAAACAAAACCAATATTGAATATAAAATTTATAAAAATAAAATATTATTTTTTTAACTATGCAAAACTAATAATTTCTTAGTTTGCAAAACTATCTAGCAAAATTGAGAAATTTCTCAGTTTGTTTTCCAGTATTAGAATATTTTCAGTTTTTGACAAATTTCTCAATTTTTTTTTTCCAGTTTTACAACTAAGTCAGTTTTTCAATTTTAAACTAAGAATATTCTCAATTTTAAACCTGAAAAAAAAAAACTGAAAAAAATAGACAAAAAAATATTGTTCAATAAGAAAGTTAAGAAAACTTACTATTAAAAATGATTTAAATTGTAAATTTATAATAAAAAAATACATTCTTATTTTTGAATAATTTTCTATTTAATATTAATTTTGTTTGATAGATTTTATTGTGTTGATTCTGGAGATATAAATTTTATAAAAATGATATATATTGTAAAAGTTGGGATGATTTTAAATTTTGAAAATCAAAATAAATGTTATATTACCATACTTTTTTATTTTTATTTTTATAAACAATTACAAATGATGAACAACTATTGCTTGAAGGGTAATTTCATCTATTAAAAATTAATGGGACTTGAACGAACAAAAAAAAACTTATTTAAGACTTAATGGAGTATAAATTTATAAAATAAGACTTGTGTGTAAATACCCCAATAATAAATAAGTTGACTCCCGCAAGTGGGGAGTGAAATTGATCTTTTGGGATTATAGTTGAAGTGCCCTAGACATTCGGTTAGCGCAAAAAAAAAAAAAACATTGATTGGGAAAACCTCTATTTTGCCATGAAAAATTATTATGAATAAAGATGTGTAATTGAGAGATTTAACTGGTATATTTATAAAATTTATATTCACCAAAGTGTTAGAAACTCACATTTGAGATTGAAAAAATCACTCGTAATAATGTGTTAAAGAAATTGAATTCATATGATTAAATGTATATAGTAAATATAAAAAAAAAATTGACACGTAACGTTGTTGCTGGTAATGTTTTTATGAATCGCAAATATTTCCGATTTAGAAATTCATATTTGAAAATAAAATTGTGACTAAAATTTGTAAGGCTTGTTTTAAGAATTAATATGGTTAAAAATAAATTTTTTATTTTTTTAATTTTTTTGAATCACATATTCTCTTTATTTTTTTACATATTTTTTTTTAAAAATAAAATAAAATTAAAAAATTAATTTTTAACCTAAATATTTAGGACGAATGAAAGGCCATCTCTTTTGTGGTTCAAAAAAAGTCCATCTCTATTACACGACAAAATAAGTTTAAATATTTAGGACGAATGAAAGGCCATCTCTATTACACGACAACATCATTTGAATCAAGTTTGCGTGTGAACTTTAGACTTGACATTGAAGAATCCATAAAAAATAAATAAAATCCAAATCCAAATCCAAATCTTCATGTAAGTTCGTAGCACCATCTCAGACACTGATAAAATTAATGTGACTTTGACTTCACCCAAAAATCACTCCTTTTTGTGTGTGTCTCTCTCTCTCTCTCAAACACACATGAATTCATCAAGCAAAAGAGAAGTATCTCATGAGATTCCACCCTACCTGAGAGTATACAAAGATGGAACCATAGAGAGACTCTTTGGCAACGAGGTTGCCCCTGCAGGCTTTGATCTTCAAACCGGTGTTGTATCCAAAGACATCCTCATCATACCCGAGACCGGTGTCTCCGCCAGGCTATATATTTTTTTAAAAAAATAAAATTAAATTAAAAATTAATTTTTAACCTAAATATTTAGGACGAATGGAAGGCCATCTCTTTTGTGGTTCAAAAAGTCCATCTCTATTACACGACAAAATAAGTTTAAATATTTAGGACGAATGAAAGGCCATCTCTATTACACGACAACATCATTTGAATCAAGTTTGCGTGTGAACTTTAGACTTGACATTGAAGAATCCATAAAAAATAAATAAAATCCAAATCCAAATCCAAATCTTCATGTAAGTTCGTAGCACCATCTCAGACACTGATAAAATTAATGTGACTTTGACTTCACCCAAAAATCACTCCTTTTTGTGTGTGTCTCTCTCTCTCTCACAAACACACATATGATTTCATCAAGCAAAAGAGAAGTATCTCATGAGGTTCCACCCTACCTGAGAGTATACAAAGATGGAACCATAGAGAGACTCTTTGGCAACGAGGTTGCCCCTGCAGGCTTTGATCTTCAAACCGGTGTTGTATCCAAAGACATCCTCATCATACCCGAGACCGGTGTCTCCGCCAGGCTTTACCGTCCTCCAAGTGTCACACCCACTCATAACCAGAACCATAACCATAACAAACTACCCCTCGTGATTTACTTTCATGGTGGAGCATTTTTCATATCATCAATCTCAGATCCAAAGTACCACAACTCTCTCAACATACTAGTCGCCAAGGCCAACATCATCCTCGTCTCCATAGACTACAGAAGAGCCCCGGAGCACCCTCTTCCCGCCGCCTTCCATGACTCGTGGGCTTCTCTTCAATGGGTTCATTCACATGTCTCCGGTGCTGGCACTGAGGCTTGGCTTAGTGACAACGTTGACTTTGGCAGGGTGTTCTTGGCTGGGGACAGTTGTGGTTCAAGTATTGCCCACCACTTGGCAATTCGGGTCGGGCCCTCAAACCCTGTTGAAGGTGGCTTGAATATTCTTGGCATAATTATGATCCACCCATACTTTTGGGGAGAAGAACCGATCGGGTCCGAGGCCAAGAACCCGGTGAGGAAGGCCATGGTGGACGGTTGGTGGCGGTTTGTTTGCCCGTCAGATAGGGGGAATGATGATCCGCTAATTAACCCGGTTGCGGATGGAGCACCGAGTCTTTCGGGTTTGGCTTGTGACCGGGTTCTGGTATGTGTTGCTGAGAAGGACATATTGAGGGACAGAGGGAGACTCTACTATGAATCGTTGGTTAAGAGTGACTGGCTTGGAAAGGCTGAGTTTGTAGAGATACAAGGAGAGGATCATGTTTTTCACATCATAGATCCGAATTGTGAGAAGGCTCTAAAAATGATCCAATGCTTGGATTCTTTCATAAACCAAGAATGACATTCATTGAGTGAATGTGTGATGTGATCATAATAAGGTTCCATAAAGTTCTACAAGTTAGACTCCAACATCAATGGTTGGTTACAAATGTCTTGTTTCATCAAAGGTTTTTGTACCTTTTATTATGTTTCTTGATTAGTGGTTTGTCAATCTTTTCTTAATTGGTGTTGTTTTTTTCGATATTGGTATTACATATATCGGTTACCATACTAATTAGTACATTAATATATGTTGTAATATTACAGTTTTAAAATTTTGGACCTCCCCATTATATAAATTACAAAGACTCAAAGTCAATAAAATTATATTACATTATCCGTTAATACACTAATTGATATACCAATTAGTATGCATAGCTTTATTTTTATTTTTTTTCAAGGTAACTCAAAATTTTGTGGCTCAAGTCACTCAAAACGACGTCGTTTTGAGTGTAAAATGACGTCGTTTTGATAGATTTAAACTATTTGAGCCACAAAATTTTTGGCTACCAAACGTATTTTTTTTTTTTTTTTCAACCTTTAAGGCTATAAAAACCTAACTTCGTAGGTCCACAAAAACCCGCATTAATGAAATAGTTTCTCTATTTTTTTTTTCCTTTTATTTTTATTTTTTTGTCATTTTCTCTTTTATTACCCTTTCCCTCAAATTATAGAACCAAATTATTAATGAAATACAAAACATCCAAGAAAGAAAAAGCTAAATAAAATACTCAATTAAAAAAAATTCTTCAGACACAAGTAACTGAAATCAAATAAGAGTAGCTTTGCCAGAGCAAGACTCAATTCATATCCAATGAACATATAAGGTTTTAAGAATTAAACTTTTTTTTATTCTAAAGGTGAAAATTTTCCTACAAAATATGTCACGAGATCGATTACTGTCCCCGAAAAAAAAAGAAGGGAAAACTGACTAAAGTTCTATTAGAAAGATGGATGCCCCCACTAAGTACTCTTGACTTTTTAGTGCATCAAAAAGTTTGTTCACTTTTAATTGTTACAACAAAATCATTTTTTTTTAAATATTTTTATAGCGGTGATTACATAAAAAATATCATGAATTGTTAATTTTTAACGACAATTTAAAATATCTGTCACAGAATAACGTAATTAATTGTCATTTTTTGGTGATAGATTTAGAAAATCGTCACCAATTATTAGTTTTAAGTGACAAATTCATAAAATCATCACAAAAAGTCTTTTAAGTACAGCTATTAGGACTTTTTTTATCTATACAAACACTTGTGAGATTTAATAATGCACATGTCCTTGTAACATGATATGTGAGTAATTAACCCAAATAATAAAAAAAAAAAACCTTTACTGACATAATTTTAAAAATGTCGATAATAAATATATTTTTAGGGGCAAAATAATTTCGTGTCAAAAAGAATTTATTTTTACTAAAATTTTGGTCCCAAAAGCATTATTCATTACTAAATGTCAATTTCTTTACTAAAATACAATAATATCCTTCTTAACAACTAAAATATTTCATTCCTAAAATGTAATTTACCTCTAAGTTTATTGTAGTGAAACTAAAAATTCAAATTCAAATTCAAACGAGACAATTTAATAAAATCAAGAAGTTTATTGTCACACCCCAAACCCGCCCCTAAAAGTTTAGGCATGACCAACTCGATAACGGTCTCAAAACTCAATAATTATACAATATGAGGCCTGAACGGAAGCAATCATCGAGCTAAAACAACATCCATTGAGCTAATGCTTATATTCCAGGATCATAAAACATACCATTCGAATAGTCTAACCCATAACGAAACATATAAATGAGTAACAACTATACATACATAAGTACAATCCCAACCCTCCAGCTGGGGGAATAGCCAAAACATTAGTGGTGGGAGTTATACATGGTTAATTACATCTGACAAAAGGCTAGAGGCCAAAGCTGTGAGCTATACAAAGAACTCCACAAAAATGAATAAGCTTCAACAAACTTCTTGGACACTGCGGGGTTAACGAAAGAAAAGCTGCTAAAGCTGGGCTAGGGGTGACCTCCGAGTTGATTGCCTACAAAGACAGACATAACACGGAGTGAGCTCAGTGAATAATAGTATGTAACAAGTTTTAGACGAACAATTACGAATTACAATACACATAAACATATAAATTACATGTTTGATCTTATTTCAGAACCATTTCCAAAACGGCCTCAGGCCCAACAATTACAAAACGGCCTCAGGCCTAATATTATACAGAACGGCCTTAGGCCCAACATAGTGTACAGAACGGCCTTGGGCCCACAGATCAACAGCTATTCGCACATTGGAGGGTAGGTAGGACATCAACATGTACACTACCTCCCTTGGCCATAGGCCATGAATCATAATCCATTCAGATCAGATTAGGGACGGTGAAACATTAACATGTCATCACCTCCCTCAGTTCTAAAGTTGCCCACATTTAGTGGCAGATAATAGAACGGCCTCGGGCCCATTGCTAACAAAGCAGAATGATCTCAAGTTCTTGAGGGTATTCTTGTTCCATAACGCACATAAGTTTCCATTTATTCAACATGAAGCATCATAATTAACTTACAGATAACAGAACGTTAATAAGAGCTATTAACAATAAACAAAATACGTCATTACAGTACTATTACTCACAGTGCTATGGCGGAGCGATAGTTCCTTCCGGTACGTGACCTACGCACACATGTAACCCACAAATTAGTCCAATTCCCCTTTAATCAACATTCGATTCGTTTAACTTCCATTCAATTTTCGAACATTTTAAAAGCTTCAAATACACATTTTAACCATCCCAGAGGGTCAAACAGGAGAAAAGAAGAATACATAATTTTTCCACATGAGTCGTACGTGCGGAGGCCCTTCGCCGCACGTGCTTTTATTCCAGTAGCCAACTTCGGATTCCTCTGTTTTCCCGCACGTGCGACTGTGAACCCCGCAAGTGCGGTCGCAGCCCCTGTTTTGGGTAGTCCGAATTTAGGCAAAATTTCAGTAAAACCAACACTTTACCAAGAGCAAAACAAGGAGAATTAATTCAGTAGATTACATAACATGAATCACAACTTATCAGATTACAATAAACATGATTACAAGCTTAACTAGATCATAATCCTTTCCGAATTCACCTATACAAACCAAGCCTTTTTTATGATTATGGCTATGTTTGATACACGAGCAATACACATGTATGAACATGTGAGTTCAACATGAAAATCAAAGAATAAAATGTAATTCCTTCATATAATTCAAATTAATTTCCAAAACAACCAAATGATAAGAACAACCCTCCAATTAAACACTTATCATACACATGTTTTCAATTACAAACCCTAGCTCTCACAAAGGAAAGGGAATTCTTACTTAAGTCCAAGAAAGAGGTCATTTAAGGTGGATTATGCATACCTTGAGCATTAATCTCTACAATCTTTCTCAATTTCTCAACCTTCTTCTTTGTTGATCTTCTTCCCTCCTAGTTCTTTCTCTCAACTTCTCTACACTCACTCATGAGATATTTTTGACTTATAAGATAGACTTACCAAGTTAAAGTTTGAAGGAGATAAATAAGGGTTAACACAAAAGGACAAAACTTAATCAGTTTAATCATTCCAAATCAGATTTTTACAAAAATTCGTATTAAGGACTAAAAATTATGCTCATCACAATGATAAAGTCAATTTCGGATTATTAAGCCTCTAAGGCTTTCAATTTATGATCCAAATGTCATAATTGTAATAGATTTTTCTCTTGATTAACAGATATAATTCCCAAACCATATCATTCACACAATTATATTTAATTTCACATGAAATTCCACATTAACCAGATAAATACACATAATAGGGGACATAAAATATATCAGAAAGCATATAGAGGGTCGGGTTATTACACTCTCTCCCCCTTAAATAAGTTTGGTCCCTCAAACTTGTTTTACCTTATGATAGAAACAATTTCGAGCATTGATGTTGTATTTCCTCTTCTTTTTTCCCAAGTAGCCTCTGTTCCATAGTGTTCTTGCCATTCAACTTTTACCATAGGAATCATTCGGTTTCGTAGTTGTCTCACTTGTCGGTCCAGAATTCGGATTGGTTTTTCCTCATAAGTTAACTTATCATCCAACAAATTTTGGTGGTAATCTATAACATGAGACGGATCTGGGAGGTAAGCTCGTAACATAGATATATGGAACAGATTATGCACTTGGCTCATACTGGGTGAACGAAACATATAAATGAGTAACAACTATACATGCATAAGTACAATCCCAACCCTGCAGCTGGGGGAATAGCCAAAACATTAGTGGTGGGAGTTATACATGGTTAATTACATCTGACAAAAGGCTAGAGGCCAAAGCTGTGAGCTATACAAAGAACTCCACAAAAATGAATAAGCTTCAACAAACTGCTTGGACACTGCGGGGTTAACGAAAGAAAAGCTGCTAGAGCTGGGCTAGGGGTGACCTCCGAGCTGATTGCCTACAGAGACAGACATAACACGGAGTGAGCTCAGTGAATAATAGTATGTAACAAGTTTTAGACGAACAATTATGAATTACAATACACATAAACATATAAATTACATGTTTGATCTTATTTCAGAACCATTTCCAAAACGGCCTCAGGCCCAACAATTACAAAACGGCCTCAGGCCTAATATTATACAGAACGGCCTTAGGCCCAACATAGTGTACAGAACGGCCTTGGGTCCACAGATCAACAGCTATTCGCACATTGGAGGGTAGGTAGGACATCGACATGTACACTACCTCCCTTGGCCATAGGCCATGAATCATAATCCATTCAGATCAGATTAGGGACGGTGAAACATTAACATGTCATCACCTCCCTCAGTTCTAGAGTTGCCCACATTTAGTGGCAGATAATAGAACGGCCTCGGGCCCATTGCTAACAAAGCAGAATGATCTCAAGTTCTTGAGGGTATTCTTGTTCCATAACGCACATAAGTTTCCATTTATTCAACATGAAGCATCATAATTAACTTACAGATAACAGAACGTTAATAAGAGTTATTAACAATAAACAAAATATGTCATTACAGTACTATTACTCACAGTGCTGTGGCGAAGCGATAGTTCCTTCCGGTACGTGACCTACGCACACATGTAACCCACAAATTAGTCCAATTCCCCTTTAATCAACATTTGATTCGTTTAACTTCTATTCAATTTTCGA